AAGAGGGGAAAAAGATGGAGCCAAAGGAGGGGAAAAGATGAGCTGAAGGAGGGAAAGGATGAGTCGAGGAAAAAAGATAAGCCAAAGGAGGGGAAGAGCTAAAAAAGAGGAAAAGGTGAGCCACAGAAGGTCAAAGCCTGTGAGATCCAGCCTGTGGGAGAGGATTTTCCCTCATGCCACAGGCAAAAAGGGATCACAAAGCTCAATTCCCAGGGGCCAGCAGAGGAGCCAGAGCTTCCCGCTGCTCCATGGGGCAGGATGGAGGTGCCTGGAAGGAGGAGAAGAGCAGCCCCACATCACCCACCCGCCCCCCCAAACCTCCCCGGGGGCCCTACCAGCTCCTGCTCATCCGGGGCCGGGGTGCTGGTGTATCCGTAGGGATAGAGCAGGAGCTGGGAATAGCTGTGGATGGACACGAAAGCCTTGATGTTCCCGTGGCCCTTCACGAAGTCCACGATGGATTTGACCTCGGGCTCCGAGTTGGGGTAGGGGCCGTGGTAGGTCTCCGTGCAGGAGTTCCCGCTGGCCCCGGACCCTGTGGGGGACAGGAGAGGGAAAACAGGGTGGGCTTTGGTGGCTCAAAGAGTCTCCAGGGAAAAAGGGTCTTTTCCCTTTCCATCCCCAGGAGTTTTTCCCACCCCTCAGGTGTGGCCGGCGAGGAACATTCCTGAGGCTCCTTCTGGAGATCTGTGTGGAGACTTTCCCTTGTGGTCCCCTCTGTGTTGCTCATCAAACGCTGGTGGGACCCCCAGCCCTCCTCTCTGCCACGCAGGGCAGGTCCCACCTCATCCCCAGGGATCTGTGAGCCGGGAATGGCCTCGGAGCCTCCACCTGGAGAGTGGGAACGCCCCGGAGGGGGAGTGGGAAGGCTCTGACCTCCAAAGCCTGCGTCCCAGTTGCGGTTGGGGTCGACGCCGACGCAGATGGCACCCGAGTGCTTGGACCTGGTCTTGCGCCACATGCGGTTCTGGGAGGACAGAGCCACCTCAGCTGCTGGGCAGGGGCCAGGGAGTGCCCTCCCCATCCCATGGGAATGGGACAGGGAGGCTCTGACCCCCCAGGGAGGAGCAGCACCCCAGTCCTGCTGCCCTTCCCATCCCGTGGGAATGGGGACAAGGAGCTCTGACCTCCCAGGGATGTTCAGAACCCCAGTCCTGCT